AACGAACATACACAGGCAATCAATCGAGCGTGCATACAGTTGAATTTAGCAAATTTGCAAGTAAAATTAAACTAGACGTGATAATTTTTCCTAACGAGCGAATCAAACGAAAAAGCAAAGTAGCGATCACTTCAATAAGTACCTATATGTATACAAAGAGCGGCGTTACTCCAAGAATCCAGTCGCATGCGTCGTCGTTGGGATGTCGTCATCAATGACTTCCTGTTCCATGTCAAGTAGGTAGCTAGTTGGGCTGACTGGCGCGACAAAGTTGACGATGACAAGAGAATGAGTAAACTGTGTTATGTGCACTCCATCGCCATCCAAGTATGCCATCCAAACCAGAATTTCAACATGCTGAAGGGATTGCTCCCAAGGAGCCATGGAGATTTTGTTTTCTTTGAACGAAAACAAAGAACGCCCCGGAGGAGAGGACTCCTCCATGTGATAAGGATTTGATGAATAATCATGAAGTGCTGTGCTGTTGCTATGCCATTAGGTACTTGTTGATAGATTGCTTGCTTTGCATACTAGATTCTTTAGTTCCGCAGGAAGTGTCTTACAAATGGCGACAATGATCTGACATGAGATGATGTTAAATTCTACAGCCTCAAATATTGAGAAAATTTGTCTCAGCTCGAAATCGGGTAGGAAAATTCAGCCAGTTTGTTTTTAATCTAAGTAATTGTATGCAAACAGATCTCAACAAAACATTGTTTGACGTGAGCAATGAAAGGAACATCAATATAAGCATATTGTATTAACGGTAGGAGGAAGGTAAAATTTAATTAGAATCAAAAACTTATAATATTATAATCAAATTAAATGTCATATTAAAATGCTCGAATTAAGTGATTAATTCATTTCTATCGGCTTGCTGTTTTGTCCTTTGAGACAGATTTGCAATGAGCAGCATTGCTCTTACCTGCCATTTGTAGCTCTCATTAAACACAGGAGTGGTAGAATGGATTTAACAGAAATTGAATTATGATTTGACCGTAAAGCACAACTCGTCCATATCCTGTGGCAGGCAGTGCCTACTGCATATTATGAATTAACAAAGGGGAAACTTTTCACTGCAAGGATCGTCTTATTATGCTGCTTTCGAGTGGCCTACTAGTGGATGATTGACAACATAGGTAGGACCGAATAGAAGCGAATCATCTCTGTTGCATCTGCTATAATAACGATGGTAGCAAGCATATGCAAAGTAACAGAGCAATTTAATTTGTGCTAAAGAGCAATTAACAGTAGGGTGCGCTAATACTTGAAACTCAGATTTCTATAGAGCCAAGATTCAGAGTGGATATCCGAGCAGAGAATGAAAACTAAATTTGATATTTTGATATAATCTTTCGTGATAATATAGTTTGCCTACCGTGTGATCGAGTTAATAGTAATAATAACAAAAATTAGATCTAAATGGTATACGAAGGATATTAAAAAGATAACAAATCATGTTTTTTTGATAGCAAATCCATGTGTCTGTTTTGATATTAGTAATTTCGTTAATAATAAACAAATTAAGTAATCAATATGTTATTTTAAATATGGTAGGAAAACAAAAAAAATTAAAAAAAAACTTTATTAGATATTATTTTGATATAATGATATCAAATTTAGTAACCTGAATGTTTTGAAATCAATTGGTTGATATCAAAATTCAAAATAAAAAAAAATGGTGCCATATTAAAGTACAGAACAGGAAATAATCATCTAGTGGTACAAATTACAAGAAAGTATCGTTTTTGTCATTATAGACAAATAACAAAAGTTAAAATATGACGAACGTTTATTAGATTCAATAGCATAGAAAAAGACGATGTGAAGTTTTTAAATTTAGAGTTTCGTTTTTATGACAAATTTCAGTGGAATTATATTCGATATAGGAATAGGACAAAATTAGTCTACGATGACTCTTATATTATTATGAATGATCAGTTCCTTCGCATCAAACTTATTTTAGAAGATATGAATGACAATATTTATTTTGTTGGGAGAGAACTGATAGTTAATGAGATTTATGGCAACATGTTTAAAAATGAGCTAAGAAATCGACTAAGCCTACGTAAGTTAAATTACAATATTCGACAATGTATTAGTATAAGTATTACAGACGAACAGGACGAAATAAATTTTATGTCGATTTGTAAATTCAATTCGCATGTAGATTAACATCAACAAATTATGTAAAGCAACAATGTGAAAATCATTATTGTCTTTGTAATGTTCATAAAGAAAACAGCAAGCATCCTATCAAATTTTGGTTTTTAATTATATTTTTTAGAAATATCAAAATAATATCAAAATATAAATTCAAACAAAATTAAAGAAATAGCCAATCAAAATATGTTATGTACATGATTCTAAAAACAAAATTAGATGTCATTTTGATATCCAACTTTGCTCGGGTATAGACGGGCTAATTCAGCATGCAAGGCGATCGATTTTCACTGCACTTAAACTAAAATATACATTGATGTACACGTATTTTAAACGCGACTGTTGTAGGCAGATTTTTTACGTTTTTTTTAAATTTACGCGGGCGAAGACCCGGTGCATATATTGTTGTCATAAACATACTACTAGTAGTTTTTACTAAATTAAATGTCAATGAATCTGAATTATTTAGTAAATAATGGTAGAATGTTTCCAATATCAAGACAACAACATATGCCATAAAAAATTACTAATGATTTTTAATGAAATTACCTGCATTTATATTTCTGCTGCAAATACTATTCGTACAAGCGTTTGAGCATCTAATTTGGATTCACTGAGCTCAAATTTAATAAAACAATATCTAGAAATACACTGGGAAGGGGTTTATCAATTTCACCTCATATTGATAAAGGGTGGTTTCGGCATCCATTAACTGTTTTCGGTTATCAAAATGTAAACGTTAATAAAGCAATTTCTTAATCTTTCAGCTTCAATTTGATTATATTTTTATGAATGAGCAAACCTGTTATGCCAGCTTTTATTCAAACAAAATGCGGTTAATTTTGAGTTGCCGATAAACAACGAGTTCAAATGAATAGGTTGCCGAAGAAAAAGAGGTTGCCGCCAATAGTCAAATTCCGTGAGCGCTGAAAAAACGTTTTCACGTCGTTTTGGGCAATTCTGTCGATTGGAATGGATAGAGTAGCAAGCAGCAGAAAAATTAATAATTGCTTTGCTTTGCTTTGCTTTGCTTTGCTTGAAATTGCTAATAGAAGCGTGAGCACTACTTAGACTGACGAGAACACGTTAATTCCCCTATGACAATTCTTCTGAAAATTCAAAATCAAAACATCCAGCATTATAAGTAATCACGCTAAGCAATAGAGTCCTCATTTACGTTAAAACGCGATCAATGGATTATGGTAGGGTTTTTGATCTAATTTCCGTCCTACTAAGCACAACGCGCACTTTACCTCTCTTTTCTGAACGAGTTTTAACTAAAAATGGAATATTTCTGTCAAAGATGACTTCTAAATTTATTCACCTTTCCATACAAAACCGTTGGATTTGACAAAGAGTCACATATTGTTGAGATATTGTATAAAATCTAATACTGCTTCTTGATTCTACGAGTTTCAATTCCGTCCAAACGCATTGAAACGCCATTAGATTTTCTTCGTCCTACGGATAAAAGTAGAAAAAGGGGATTCGCTAGGAGCGCTTCTTTTGTTTTGAGAACAATGAGCGTAAATATTCATACAATGCGCTCTAACAGGATTTATGTTGCAGCTAATGAACAACGCATCGGAACAAACCTATTTTTGATTTATGCACGGTGAAATCATTGATATTATTGATCTTTTCTGATCGATAGAACGGAAATGGGCGATTACGACGAAGTAGCGCTCTACCCTACTAACAAAATATACACGAACATGCTTTCAATTGACGATTGAGGTTGGGGTTGATATAAAATATTGACGTTGTGCGTAAAGCAAGCACCGCACGGGCAAACATATTGTCAATACTCAAAAGCATTGACAATCATATTGATGCAAATATTGATGACAAATATAATGATGAGCATATTGACGCAAAATCAAAAAAAGTTTGATTTCATGTTTCATTATTTTCCCTCATTTTTGCCTTCTGTTTGGTTACAGCAGCAGATGGGGCCTGTCCTTTGGGTGTTTACATATAAATTTTAGCTTAGAGCCCATGCAATAATTATGTCACGCTAAATCGAGGAGAAATTAACCCCCCCCCCCCTATCGTGACGTTTTTCCTATACCTAATGTATTGCTTGTCACAAAATAGACCCCCCTAGAGCGTAACATAATATATGCATCAACATTAATCAGTCATTTCCCAGCTAACAACAGACTAACAGGTCGACAAAATGTTTGGGCAAAATTAGTGTGCTTTGCTTTGGATTATAGACTTATCTATTCTTTGAGTCGGGTGACTCTCTGTCACTAGTGAGGTGACAAAAGTTACGGCCTGTAAGATGACTCTCCGATTAAATCAAATGGAGAGTTACTTCATACGACGTGACTTTTGTCACCTCACTACCCAAGTAACCAACAAGCCCGCTAATTCGCCTTTTTGCAATATAAGGCTAATATGCGGCTAATATAAAGCTTAGCATGCCCTATTTTAGCCGTGCATCAGCCTTATATTGCAAAAAGGCGAATTAGCGGGCTTGTTGGTTACTTGGGTAGTGACAAAGAGTCACATGACTCACAGAATAGGGGGAGGTTTGTGATTTTGAGTAGTATAATAAAATCAAGAAATTTCGTAAGAAACCATTGCCAATTCTCGTACAGCGTTATGTCCCAATTATTCTCATAGCATAGTCCAATAGCTTCATCTAGCCCCCTACATATGCCAGTCTTGCTAGTGATTCTACCAATGACAGCATCAAGTCTGCGGGTGTAGTCAATTCCACATTCCTCAAATTCCAAAGTGAAACCCATATTCCTACCAACCAATGGCATAGTTTTGGGAATTAATCACTCAGCATTCAACTTCCTTTTTCTCCTTCTCTTCCGTTTCAGTAACCGACTCTCGAGGCTACCACCATCACCTTCACTATCAGCAGCATCAGCAGCAACAACAACCACCACAGCCCCAACACCACCAGCCGCAGCATCATCATTCATCTCAAAACACGACGCCAACTACGCAGAAAAAGAAGGGTTTCTTCAAAAGTTTTTGGAAAAAATCACGTCACTATTCGCTGGAAAAACAGTAAGTCATGAGTCCGGACGCAGCTGGTAACTTTTGCTAGGGTAGTAAAAACAGAATAAAACTGATATTTATACACATTGTATTTGCGGGTGGAAGTAATTTAACCAAACTCTAACAAACAGCAATCTCTTATCTATTGGCCTAACCGATAACAAACAAAAAAAACAACAAAGAAATCACGAAACGAGTTACACATAGTAACGTAACTTTTAACGGAAGCAACACAAGATTATTATCACACTAGAGGGTAGAATCAACACAACACTTGGTCATTTTAAGTAAGTATTTGGAGGAAAACAAAGCAACAGGCGGAAGAGCATTTGCATTAGACTAGTCCAGCAAACGAAGATTATTTTGAATTTGCAGTAAAATTGTGAGACAGTTATCGCACTAGTGCTCCCCTAGTTGGCCATGTTTAAATTAAGTTTTTTCCATATTTTTCAACGTAGGCACAGCGTTAAGACTAACTGTAACTCAATGAAATTTTAATTTAGGTTTTAGGCCATATGGTCAATTAGAGAACCACTAGTGCCAAAACTGGTACACTTGCCCTATTGCAAAAAAAAAATGAACGAATGTTAAGAGAGATTAGCACTGAATTGGTTCGCTACCGATAGCAATGCAAATACGTCTAGAAAAATTTGATCGTAAATTTACCCCAACACTCAATTGAAGTGACATATTCATATTTATGGAAGTCTAATAATATTGCACTATTAGAAATCCCAATAAAAACGCTATGGCTGAAAATGTGTCAGTTAAATACTATATGAACATCTGATAATTTGATATCTGCTATATGACTGAAAACTAAAGATCGGTTATGTTATTAAAATAAACTGAAACAGATTTGAAACCCGCATGACAGCATGAGCTGAAGTTTGTCCTATGTTAATGTAATTCACGCAACTATCAGAATTGACTGAAAAATCTTCATATGTCTTCATATATGTATGATGGCCCATATTCCAAATGTCCCGATCTGACAGTCCCCCTATCAATTTCGTTTTCATTTTTCAAACCCGAAAGGACGATTTCTGCGGATTGTTTAGTCCAACTATGTGTCACAAAGTCATAGAAAAACGAAAATTATCCTTTAAAAAATATAAAAATCTTCTTTTTTTATTTTCGATATTTTTCCGAATATTTTTAATTTTAATAATTTAATTAATGAATTCTACACACTACAATGTCCATATCAGATGATATATATGATCTTTAGTGGATTGTTTCTATAATTTTGAAAACTTACTTTGTTCATCTTGACATGTTGAAAAAGAGTCGAGATATCAAAAAATTAATGACAAAACATATCAGCGCGGAAAAGAAAAAGAAAAATATGGTCCTCAACAGCACATGAATCTTTCCTCTGATAAGTTACTCGTAGTGCATGTTCATTCAGATCCCGAACAGACCGTTTAAGTTGGTTTGCGTGAGAACGGATAAGCTTGTGTCTGTCTTGCAATAGCTTCGATAATAGCTCATGGTCCATTGCCACTTATTGGCCGCATACGGCTTCGCGTACACCTTATCCTTTGTTTGGAAAGGTCTTGGAACTGCACCTTTCTTTTGATCAAACTGAGTGAAACATTTGATTGCGTATGCAGTGGAAGCACCGTTTGCATCGGACGACCAATCCAGTTTTGCCGAGCCTTGCCTTCTAAGCACGCGGCTGACAGTTGAACGATAAGTTTTGGCGATGCTTCCCCCCTCGTTGATTTTTGACAGTGTATCCGCTTGACCATTGGACGGCGCTGAAAGGAGATGCTGGATTCCGCTAACCTACACCCAACCGAGGGATGTAAGATTGGCTTACAATTATGTGGGATTCATCATCAGAGGATGTTAGTGGAGACCTCATGAACCGAGGATGCGATATAACTAGCTGCGGTCCAATGCAAGAAAATGTAGAGTGTATTAGTGAGGTAAATTAGTTATGCCGAAAAAAAATAGGAATCCGATTGCCGACTGGACTCGAACCAAGAACGCTTCGATTATCAGACCTGTGCTTTCTCCACTGCTCTCTCCAGGCTCCTGAATATGGATAGCCTAAAAGTAAACATGAAGCGCTCATTTTCTCGCATACTCGACTTCGTATGCTTTTTCTGCTGGAGAGATTCGAGGCAAGTGTGTGCGGCGTTCTACAATGTTCTACAATGTGCGTCGTTTTACAAGCTTACTGGTATAGTCGAAAGCGTAGATAGAAAACAAAATAAAAAAGACAAAAAACCATTACATCGCCTGCATGATCAATTTATAACATTCGTTGCGATGTTCATGAACAGAGGATGATAGGAAACGGAACTAACAATAGATTTTTGGTTTGCGTGTAGCAAAAGCTTGAAAACTTCTCAGATGTAAGCTGCGTTCCGTTGTCCGTTACAATTGTGTTGGAAACTGTTTTTATCCAGAAGCTCATTGGCTGGATTCGTTGTTGGAGACCGAGCAATTTTTTCCGGTCATTTAAAATGAGCAATCACCACCACCACCAGAAAATTAACACAGTATAGTGAGAGTCCAACGTTGCAAACGATTGTGGGAATTCCCTACTTACATTCAAAATTCTTAGTAGTGACTGATGACCCATTTGTACCGTGAACTTTCGGTCGAGGACCATTCGATGAAAGAACTCGTGACTCCGAACACCAAAGCAAGACCTTCCCTTGCGACTTGAATGTAGTCTACTTTAGCTGGTGTTAGTGATCTAGAAGCCGTTAGCGGCGATAGGTTAGTAAGAGGTCGGACTGTAGAATGGTCTTGAACTCTCGAACGACTTCTGGCACTAACGGGATCAAACAAAGGGCTTCTGAGCTGGTGCATCTCTCGAACGAACTTCGCATAGTAGTTGAGGTTCATAGTCAACTGTTGACTGCCCCGAGGAAAGAGCGAAAGCTGGTGATGTCTGTTGGTGGCGGCATCTTGGACTCCAGTATTTAACGGATCCATGCGTAGATCGTTGGCATCATCAATGTGTCTCAGATATTTGATTTGGTCCTGAAGGATATTGCAGTTCTCTTCTCGTAGATAGAAACCATACTCCTTCAGGAAATTGGTTAAGGTGATACTCTAAGGAAGCCTTAGCGTGATACTTCAAAGGCACAAATGTCAGCTTCCACAAAACATACAAATTTGAAATTGCTACTCTCTGTTTGTAGTAGCAAACAAGGAGTAGCAATTTCAAATTTGTATGTTTTGTGGAAGCTGTCATTTTTGCCTTTAAAGTTTCACCCTAAGGCTTCCTTAGAGTATCACCTTAACTGAACATCATCATGGCACACGCTATGTTTAAAGGCGACTTTTATTCAAAGTGAATGTACCTAAAATTTTATTTCACTAGATGATAGTTTGGGACCTCTAGTTTCAAAATCTGTAAGGCTTCTTCTTCTTCTTCGCATTTCAAGCTTATTGCATATCGCATATTAGCTTATTGCGTGCTGTAAGGCTATCTCATTAAAATTGTAACAACAATTTCTCCCGATTATGAGTCAAACGAGTCAAACACACTAACTGCTGTCATAAATTATTGCAAAATACTGAAAATTTAAATATTTTTAATTAAAGGGTACCATTTTTTATAGTTTGATGAGGGGCACGAAGAGTGAAAAATATATTTTTAGACTGATTATTATGTTTAGTTCTAGACACATCAGTACTATACACATTCATAGTAATAGACCTGCCAATAAGAGCTGACGTATCAAAAAAAATAATAAAATCATATGGAAAATGTTTGATTTGGATTCAACATGGCAGTACATTGACAGGTCTATTACTATCTATTACAGTACTGCTTTTAGACGCATACAATAGTGCACAAATTTCGAACAAATTATTTTGAAAGTTCGGCTATGGACTAGTCTATTTGCTTATGCTACTCCCAAAAACGGGTTCAGATCTTTTCCATTATCCAGTAAGTTTCGTTGTATCATACACACATACTAACTGCTCACATCAATGTTAGGATCGGATAGAAAAAAAAATGCTTATCAGAAATGTCGAAGAAATTCCGCCGATGTCTCCTTTGCCGATCATCGGAGCACGCACGATGGACGGGGAACGTTTTATTGAGAAGGCAAAATTTTGCCCAGTTTTTTTTTCATTCGGATAATCGAAATTCCACTTCCCTCTAATTGAACCTCCTCTGTGTGGTTGGCATTCCGGTACTAGTATCATAGCATTCAGCGTATTGAATAACGTTATTTGATAAAGAGGCATCTATTCACACATACAGACAAACATACAAAAAAGGAAACAAACATGAAAAACGTTTACACAAATACACATACAAACACATATTTGCAGAGACGGTAATGATTTGAGTCTAAAACATTAAATTCAATTATAGTACATTCATTAATCGATTATAGGAATGTAAGCAAAGTCAAGCCACAACATAGCGAGCAGGAAAGCAGGAGTAGAGTAGAAAAATTGCAGAAGTTTGTAACAGAACCGCAGAAATTAACAAACAAACAAATAGGTTTGCCGAAACGCAAAAAGTTGTTAGACGAGAGTGACGTTGTATTTGTAGATTGAGTAATCGTGTATAGAAGTGATTTGTGTACAGATGTTGGTTATCTTAGTTTGTGTTTATATAATCAAACAGGCTATACGATATTATTATAATGATTATTATTATTATTATTATTATTATTATTATTTGTGAATATTTCATTTTTAATTTGTAGTGCTCTGGTTACCTGTTAAGTTTGATATTTTTTACGGTGTATTTTCTCGATTTTTACATTTCACTCACTTCTCCTTTGGTTTGCCATCTGTAAGTTTATAGGAGGCATCGATTTTAATTATTGCTACTGGAACTAATCTCAGTTTAACCAAATGAATAAAACAAACAAAATGTATCTCCAAATTTTCCTATATTTACGGAACACATAAGCCCAAATAAAAAAATCATTTTAATCAACTTTACCCCAACTGTTGCTTTATGCTTGAAGAAAGAAACTTTCAAATTTTGTTTTCTGTTGTATGTCAACGATATTTCTCTAAGGTAAGTTAAGTAACCTATGACTGGCTTCACAAATCCCTCACTTATTAACTTACTTACTTACAGTCAATTCTATTTTTACGCGATTTTATAATTTTATTTTGTCCTTATTGAGGATGAGTACAAAACTACACCATATTTTTTTAAACAAGTTGCTCTAAATGTTGTGGCAATTTAATATCCCACGATCAAAAATTCGGACGACACAGAATTAGTTGTACTTACTTACTTACTTACTTACTTACTTACTTACTTACTTACTTACTTACTTACTTACTTACTTACTTACTTACTTACTTACTTACTTACTTACTTACTTACTTACTTACTTACTTACTTACTTACTTACTTACTTACTTACTTACTTACTTACTTACTTACTTACTTACTTACTTACTTACTTACTTACTTACTTACTTACTTACTTACTTACTTACTTACTTACTTACTTACTTACTTACTTACTTACTTACTTACTTACTTACTTACTTACTTACTTACTTACTTACTTACTTACTTACTTACTTACTTACTTACTTACTTACTTACTTACTTACTTACTTACTTACTTACTTACTTACTTACTTACTTACTTACTTACTTACTTACTTACTTACTTACTTACTTACTTACTTACTTACTTACTTACTTACTTACTTACTTACTTACTTACTTACTTACTTACTTACTTACTTACTTACTTACTTACTTACTTACTTACTTAATTCCAATATCATCAATAATTCTAAACAGTGTCTTGTCTTTATTAGCTACATTTAGAAATCATTGCATGGAACAAATTTATCGTAGGCTGGTTTGCTGTCCATTTCTACGCTAACATGATGACAGATTGGGCTTTGTCAAAGGTTAATTTTATGAAATAAAATTTATCCCCACAGCTAGAATTGGTGATCATATAGGTTGTACCTTATATATTTGTTCTCTAGTCTAGTCTAGTCTAGTCTACACATACACAGCCAGTACTTGAAAGAATCCTGGAAAATGATACATCTATCATTTTTCTTGTCATTATTAATGCCTGTTGCACATCAAGGATGTGAAACAAACAATAAAGCGGCCAGGCCTACTGTGTAGCGTTTAGTTAATTTTTGTGGAAGTGAATGTTTACCATGTCTACTTAATAAGTATAGACAGTGGTTAACATTTAATCCACAGGTAATCAAAGAGCGGGGACATACCGTACCAACCGCTCCGTATGCAGGATTTGAAAATAGGCTATATAAATCGTTGGGAGTGACAGAGCTAAGAAAGTTAATGTACACTCCTTGGTTGTCCGATCTCCTGGGATGGAACACAGGTATTTACCCCTTGTGTTCGAGCGTACAGTCCTCCCTCCGTACAAGCGTGGACGGCACCGCCAACCCACTGCGATCCCTCAATCGATCCAGCCGACCTCAGTCGAAGGACAACAGAGAGCGGTGTGCGGACGTAACCTACACGGAGGGAATGCTGTATTCGCCTAGGTTATAGCGCCCTTGCTCGCTACCGTTTTCTTCTAGCGGTTGGGACCTGAGCACTAACTCTTGTCCTAGCCCTATATGGCATATGGTTATAGCGCCATTACTCGCTTTCTGAAAAGAGAAGAAGGGAAGGGAAGGAGAGGAAAAGGACTTGGGAAAAGGAAATGCGGAATTCCTTTCCTCATTAGTATTTGTATCGTCAACGTTTATGAAAACTACATAAATCATTTTTCCTTGGTCAGAGGTATTATTACGACATTTGAATAAGATTGTCTTATCATTTGTTATTCAAAATTTAATGTTATAATGATCAACATAGCTTTGGATTATCCAATATAAATCGGTAACACTGTCCTGCAACCGATGATTTTTCTAATCCGAAAACTAAAAGTTACGAAAAAGCACTGATGCCTTCATTAAGTTCCACTTTCACGCGACGTTCAATGGTTAAACAAGTAAACAAGTTATTAAAATGAAATCACGTTCCCGTAAGCAGTCAACAATGTATCTTAAACCGGATCAAGCGTGCGCCCTATTTTTCTAAACATTCCGACGCGTTCCGCCCAATATCTATCAATTACGTTTTTCTACAATAGTAGCCTGGGATAAATCCTAATTCGACCGACACGTGTTTGTTGAAGTCATTAGGAAACCTGTTACTATATTACCACACATATGTATCCTTCTCTCATGAATTTGTTTTACGAACATGATCTAACACAACCTTTTTCTATGACAAAACTATATTCTGATAAAATTGGATCATTGCCTAGACCAACTATTGAAACTAAAGAACAAAACAATTGGCCATAAAATCTACCTGTAACCATTTTTTCGCATGCTTCCGAAGATTTTGCTTACAATAAGCCCCGCTCCGGTACAGTATCGATGCTGATAATGTACTGAAACTTTCTATAAAACAGTAGCGCAAAATTTGATTGACGCGTATTTAATGATTTAAAAAAAAAATATTTACGATAGAATTACCACAAAAATTAAGGAACGAGCTCACCAAATTAGTATCCAGAAAAGAACGGCACGGCTTAACAGAGTTTAACCAATGGGAATCTTTTCTTTCCATGCTGATTTCACGGTCTAAATCACTAACACTGGCACAACACGGTTACTAAATACGTAAAAACTGAACTGGACTATACATTTGGAAATAACTCAAACGAAAATTCTTCCGGATGGCGTAGCGCCACCAGCCAAAACGCTGACAGAAGATTATCGCAAAAAATCCCCGTTGTACCTTATATATTTGTTCTTAACACAAACTTCTGGTTGATAAAGAAACAATAATCGTCTGCAGCGGAAACAGACCGAATCCAAACCCGACGTGATTGTTGTCGTCGTCTTCATTTTTCCGGTATAGGGCCGTGCCATTTTGCCGGCAGTTTATAAGCAGCAGTTCTATTATCATCACCCGAATGCGCGCTGAGAACAAAGAAGCGCTTGATGCATATTGAATCGATGATGATGCACAGCTATTTTTGCTCAATAAATCATTTGAGCGAATCATCCACTCAATTCACGCCACATTCCAATCGTGACTGTTTAACGGGCGATACCTTTGCTGCTGTATCTTACTCGGTTGCCACAACAGTTGATAACACAATCGAATACAAGCACA